TGTCTCTGGCCTCGATCGAATCATAGAAACAGGTAATCAAAGAAGGAGAAGAGAATTTCCTTACTCCCCGGACCGTCGTTGTTCCCAAAGAATTAGATGCAATCAAGTCAGCGGTTGAGGAACGGGAATAGGTGATACTGATCGAGTATCTACCCGAATGAAAGGTATACCTGGGAACGGGGTTAACCCCCGAACTTAGGAAAAAAATCATTCAATTTCTTATCGATAACATGGGTTGCTTTGCTTGGTCCCATTTAGACGTGATAGGGATCCCACCAGAAATAACAACACACCGACTGAGCCTCAACCCCAATTCAAACCAGTGAAGCAAAAGAGAAGGCCCTAGTCCAAGGTGAAACATGCGTTCATAAAGGATGAGGTAACTAAACTTCTTAAAATATGGTCCATTCAGGAGGTAAAATACCCCGAATGGTTTGCCAATGTAGTTGTAGTCCCTAAAAAAGTGAAAAAACTTAGAATGTGCGTAGATTACAAGGATATGAACAAGGCATGCCATAAAGACTCTTTTACACTTCCTAACATCGATTGCATGATCGATGCCACGGTTGGCCACGAGATCCTTACTTTTCTCGACGCCTATTCTGGATACAATCAAATTCATATGAACCCAGAAGATCAGGAGAAGACCTCGTTTATCACTAAGTATGGAACTTATTGTTATAATGTAATGCCCTTCGGCTAAAAAATGCAGGAGCTACATACCAACGCCTAGTTAACAAAATGTTTGAGGAATAAATAGGTAAATCAATGGAAGTTTACATTGACGATATGTTGGTTAAGTCCCTGCGCACATTTGACTCATTTGCAGGAAACATTTGAAATCTTGAGGAAGTACAACATGAAACTTAACCCCAAAAAATATGCCTTCGGGATCGGCTCAGGCAGATTCCTCGGCTTCATGGTATCAAATCGGGGAATGAAATCAACCCCGATAAGATTAAAGCCATCGAAGACAGTGTGAAAGTTATACAAAGGCTAACCGAATGGATAGCTGCCTTGGGCCGATTCATTTCAAGGTTGTTCGATCGAAGCCACGGGTTCTTTTCCTTATTCAAAAAGAAAAATGATTTTGCATGGACCCTAGAATGTAAACAAATGTTGGAGGAATTGAAGCGGCACTTATTGAGCCCACATATGCTCCACACTCCGAAAGCAGATGAGAAGCTATACTTATACTTGGCAGTGTCCGAAATAGCGGTAAGTGGTGTGCTAGTTCGAGAAGATCAAGGTATGCTTTCCCTGTTTATTATGTAAGTCGAACCTTAGGAGATGCTGAAACTAGGTACCCACACTTAGAGATATTGTCACTTGCATTAATAAGTGCATCTAGAAAGTTAAAGCCATATTTCCAGTGTCACCCCATATGTGTGTTAACCATTTATCCTCTCCGAAATGTTTTGCACAAGCCCGAGTTATCGGGTCGGTTAGCCAAATGGGCTGTCGAACTTGGCGGGTATGATATCGAATATCAACCTCGAACAGCCATCAAGTCTCAAATCTTAGTTGACTTCGTGGCCAATTTTACGCCAACCCTCGTACCCAAAGTGGAGAAAGAACTTCTACTAAAATTGGGTACATCATCGTGGGTATGGACCCTCTTCACGGATGGTGCCTCGAATATGAAAGGGTCGGGGCTTGGCATTATTTTGAAGCCACCCACAGGTAACACTATTAGACAATCTATCAAAACCTCTAGGTTGACTAATAATGAGGCCGAGTATGAGGCCATGATTGTAGGTCTCGAGCTATCTAAAAGCTTGGGGGCATAAGTAGTTGAAGCCAAGTGCGATTCTTTATTGGTGGTGAACTAAGTAAACAAAAGTTTCGAAGTTTGAGAGGATATGATGCAGAGGTATTTGGACAAGCTGCAGGTAACCTTGCACCGCTTCATGGAGTGGACTCTAGACCATGTACCTCGAGAACAAAATAATGAGGCCAATGAACTTGCAAACTTGGGGTCATCATTCGAACAAGATGATATTTTCCCGGGAACTGTTGTCCAGTTATCGAGATCTGTGGTCGAGGAGGGTCATGCCGAGATAAATTCTACAAGTTTGACTTGGGATTGTAGGAATAAGTATATCGAATATTTAAAAAATGGAGAGCTCCCATCGGACAATAAAGAGTCAAGGGCTCTACGAGCCAAGACTGCTAGGTTCACATTGGATGAAGATGGAACATTATATAAAAGGACGTTCAATGGACCATTGGTGGTATGTTTAGGGCCTAGAGACACCAATTATGTTTTATGATAGATCCACAAAGGCACTTGTGGAAACCACTCCGTGGCCGAGTCCTTGATTCACAAAATCATTAGAGAAGGGTATTACTGGGATAGCATGGAAAATACACTAAGGAGTTTTTTAGAAAATGTGATAAATGTCAAAGGTTTATTATTCATTAGCCCGGAGAGTAACTTCATTCAGTCCTGTCCCCATGGCCTTTCATGAAATGAGGAATGTAACATCGTCGGCCCTCTACCAACGACCCTAGGTATAGCTAAATTCATTTTGTTTATGATTGACTACTTTTCTAAATGGGTAGAAGCACAGGCCTTCGAGAAGGACAGAGAAAAATAGGTTATAGACTTCATCTAGGACGACATCGTGTGTCGATTCGGGATACCTACCGAAATAGTATGCGACAAAGGGAAGCAATTCATCGGCAATAAGATAATGGAGTTCCTCAGATCACACAAAATAAAAAGGATCTTATCAACGCCGTATCACCTGAGCGGAAACGGACAGGCCGAATCGACAAACAAGACTATCATTCAAACTTAAAGAAAAGGTTGAACGACACAAAAGGGAAATGGAGAGAAGTTCTACCCGAGGTTCTTTGGGAATATCGAACGACATCGAAGTCCAGCACAGGGGCAACCCCGTTCTCTTTAGTATATGGCTGTAAGGCCTTAATTACAGTCGAGTTCAGGAAACCCAGTGCTAGATTTTGACATGCATCAGAGGAATCAAATCACGAGGCTATGAATACTAGCCTCGTGCTACTAGATGAAGAACGGGAAGCTGCACTTGTTCCGATGGCTGCACAGAAGCAAAGAATAGAGAGATACTATAATAGAAGAACCAACCTTCAACATTTCGGAATTGGGGACATAGTTCTAAGGAAAGTGAACTTCAATACTCAAGACCCGAATGAAAGGAAACTAGGCCCGAATTGGGAAGGACCATATTGAGTCATCGGAAAAGGATCTTACAAACTTGGCACGATGGAAGTCGAACAATTGCCAAACAATTGGAATGTATCGCTACTCAAACGATATTATTGCTAAGGTATGACCTTCTCCCTTTTTCCATTTGTATTTGATACTAACTTATTGCGGGTGTTCGATCGAGTACGTCGAGAGAACCCTTCTACGCAAAGACCTTAGGTTTTAAAACATATGTTGCACTCTTTTTTCCTTTGATCGGGTTTTATCACAAATGGGTTTTCCTGGCGAGGTTTTTAACGAGGCAACAACTATGTGCTACCTAAGGAGAATTCAATAGTATCCAAGGCTTCTTTTCAATCAACCTCGAATACTGAGGGGAGGCATCACCCTCGGAGGTTATATTTTCAAGAAAAATACTCCATGCCAAAGAGGGCCTCGATAGGAAAACTTTGTAATGGGCTAAACTGTTAGATGAACCGTGTCCATGTAGAATAGTCGAGCCCCGATGGCAAAACATGTATGCATGTATGGATTTTTCAAAGAAGCATTCTTTCTCTGAGAAACGGCTCAAGGGCCAAAATGCAAATACGTCTCGAATACTCGAGGACTGTCATAGATAGTCAACACATTCGAGTTGTCTAAACTCGAATTCATAAGACCTCAAAGAGGCACCCCTCGACGTAAAGTCCAAGGCTATCATACTCGGAGACTAACATTTCGAACAAGTTCAAAATGTTATTGTGAAACAAGTCCAAGAGACATACCCGAAGGCTATGGCCATACTAAAGGCTACGGCCAAAATAACGCAGCTTGGAGACGTTTGAATCCCGCAATAAAAACAGGCCTTCGAATTCTCTGAAAACTAGTTAATAAAGGCTATCTCCAGCAAAATAATCAAAGGGCTTCAAAAAAATCAGCCCTCGTAACACCTTAAGAGGTATCAAATTATTCAAATAGAAACTTGTGCTAAGGCACAAAAAACAAAAAGGGTTCTGATCGACACTAAACCCTCGAAAAATCCAATGGATAAAAAAAATGCATGCCAAGGCATAAAGAAATTTTTACTAAGTCTTTTAAGCCGAAAAGGGGAAAATAATAGCCTTCTCTTAGAGGCCATAACAGCCCGATCTAAAAGAGCCTAAGGGCCAACACACTCAGGGTTAGAGATCTTGTTCTCACCCGATCCGAACCCAAGGGTTCGATTATCCAGATCCCAATTAAACAATAACTTGATTATGGCTCGGGGATTCACCATAACCAGCACAAGCCCTTAAGGGTTTATGCCCCAAAAGTTCGGACCTTATTCGAACTCGACCACGACAACTTCAAGAAAGATATCCGAGATAGAATCTCGAACACACAACATTTGAATTAAATTATTGCAAGAATTTTGTAAGGCAAGAAACATTGAGAAGACATTCAAGGAAGTTTTTTTTTATATACTTGAAAAAGGATATGTACAAGAAACCGAAAAAAGGACTTACAAAAAGAAAAATACAAAAAAGAAACAAAATTCCTATCTATGCCCGGGGTTGGTTTCTCCCTCGAAAGGAGATTCCTCTTCAGGCCCCTCTTCATTGTTGGACCCGCCTTAGCTACCTTCATCATCATCGGCATCGTCAGAGGAGATGAGGAATTTCGCATCAGCTTCGAGTGCCTTTGCTTGAGCTATCTCTTCAGTGAGGTCGAAACCTCGAGCATGGATTTCTTCGAGGGTCTCCCTCCTGGATTGGCACTTGGCCAAATCATTACTCCATTTTTCCCGGTTGGAGATTTCCCTTAGCTCCATTTGAGCAACCTCAACATCCCTTTAGTACACAGCAACGGTTTTATCAGCTGTGGCCTTCGTCTTCTCGACCTCAGCCCTAGCTTCAGCAACCTCGGCCCCGGCTTCGGCAAGTTTGGCCTCGAGCTCGTCGATCCTTTTGGCCTGGGCTGAATTTTTCTCTTTAGCACCCTGGAGCTGGGTCTCAGCCGATGTCAATTTGGCTAGAATAGCCTCTTTCTCTGCAACAAGGCGCTCCATATTTTCTTTCCACCGGTTACAATCGACCTTGACATAATTGACCTCCCCTCGAAGTAGCCCAACCATCTCCAATTTTTGTTGTAGCTGAGACAATGAAGTGTTAGCCTACATAGTTGGGTCAAGTAGACCATACTCTTTCAAAATGGCAGTTACCTGCTTGTCTAGCTCGGCCTCATTTTTACGAGCCTTAGCCAAGTCTGCCCGATGGTCCTTGAGTCCCTCCTCTTTTTGACTGCAAAGTAGCTTCAAGGCCTTCCCTTCATTCGAGGCCTTCTTGAGCTCAGCCTCACATTGGCTTTGGTCGGCCCTACACTTAGTAAAGACCTACGCAGAAAAAGAGATATCAGTTAGGGTAAGGGGAGAAGAAGAAATTGCAACAATAGGAATTAATACTTGCTTGAGAAAAAAAACATTAAGCCTGTTCGAAGAGAGTAGATGCGTCGTTTAGTTCGACGACATCATCAAACCCAGTAAAGCAATCCTAAAAGGATCATCTTCACCGGGGACTCCGCCTAAGTTAGGTGTTCGCAGAGCTCGGGCTTTCCTTATTGCCTCCTCACAATAAGCCGGTAGGAAGAGTGACCTATTATCATGTGCCTGAGCAAATCACTCGGGGCGCTCTATTCAGCTTTGGGGATTTAGGAACCTGTCCCTTAGGTGTCTTTGTTGATGGTCAAGGAACAATCTCGACCTCAAGTGATTCATAGGCTTTGCCCGTGTCTTTCTTTAGAGCCTCCTCACCACGAGGCAGAGTTTCCGGTTCAGAGGGCTTGGCAGCATTGGTTGGTTTTCTGGCTCGGGTCACCAACGCCGACTCTTTTCCCTCGTCTTCTTCTTCATCATGCAGCTGGTGGACTGAGTCAATGTCCACATGGATGAGATTCCTCCTGTGCCTTTGGGTAGGACCCCTTCCATCTTGGGGGTCTTCGGGCTTCGAAACTCTTTTCGTCTTATTATTTTTCCCCGATTTCAGAATTGGGGACTCGGTCTCCTCCCCTGTCGGGGCTGGCCTCATTTCAGAGATATCTGCAATGCCTACATGAATGAAAAATAGGTATGAGTAAAGTAACGTATCCAATAAAGGGGGAGGTATCGAAAACTTGCAAATGGAACTTACCGTGGTGTTTGGATTCCCATATGCCCCTCGCCAACTCACGCTATCGGCATTCGTCATACAAAGAGGTTGCAACTAGTTTACGGACCCAGTCCTCAAGGTCGGCAACCGCATGGGAATCCAAGTAACCGCTGCAAAAAAGGTGAAGGCATCACGCAATGCAAAGACGGAATACAAGAAGCTATTAGGGAAAAACTTCTCTCACGATTAGAGTTCCACTTCTCTGGGTATGGTATTTTCCCCTCGGGGCTGACGTCACAGGTCCTCACTCATATGAACTGGCTCATCCAGCCCAGTTCTTATCCTCATCATTGTTGGCAAAGAACGCTATATACAGTGAAATCGGGGGAACCAATTTCTCGTTAATAAGGCATTTCAGGAGGTCACCTCGAGGCCTCGAAGACGCGAAGCTGTGACCAAGT